TTCCTCGTCCCAGCATCTACTTGGCTTTTTAGCATCCCTTGTGGTTCCAAACACCTTCTCTTTACTACTCAATCCTTCATCCTAGTAATTGAGATTTTTCTCAGCCTTAGTTACCATTCAACAAAACTGAATAAATATTCAGAGCTTTGATTTTAAATAATATAAAGTAATACTTGCTCCTCTAGAATACAAGTGATATAATTTCAAGTTTACTGTGAAAAATCAAAGTCCTAAAACATTTTTATGATGGTAATAATATTTTTAAGGAAGAACTAATTCTTCCCTAAGAAATCAGAATGAAAACAATTCAAGGCCCACCATTTTTTTTCTACTAATCAAGAATGAATTTGTTGTATTTCTATGCTATTTCTTCACTGTGGCAAGGACCACCAAATCCTTCCTAAGCAAAGAAGGTTGCTGAACGAGTCAGCATCAAATCAAGGAAGCAGGCACCAATCTGTTTAATTCATGGACCAATTAGGGGTGATAGCGATAGCTGAGACACCAGTGTTCTGTTAGACGCTCACAAGCAGCCTCCACATGGCCCTACTTAGGAAAGCAGGGAAATGTTGGGATGAGGGTACCAGAGTAGAGAAACCGTAAAAGAAAACTTGCAGAGATTTTTCAGAAGGCTCCCAGAGTGTCCAGCTAAGTATAAACCAGATATTTTGTGAGGGAATTACTAGAATCACCTGGAGGAACTGAAGGAATACTCTCCTAACCTCATATACATGTTCTGCCTAAGCTAAAGAGAAATAACAATGCCCTGGGTCCTTCCCTTGACCCTCTCTTGCCTGTTCTTCTCATTAGCTCAGCACACTGGAACAAACCTGTAGATTTTGAAAAGCACAAATGCCTGGATAGCTGGATGTCATTGGTTTGAGTGCAGTCACGGCACACAGAGGACTTTAAAAGCCCTCCTGATGAGCCTACTAATTTAGAACCGATACTTTAGGCTGAACCAGGCAGAAGACAGAGTTTTGGATCATAGGACCGTTTGTCTGACAGAAATCGGCATTCTTCAAGATAGGGTGAGGGTTTGATAGCTAGCAGATCCAGGATTTGTAGATGGCACAAAGAGGTGAATAGAGACAAGGCAAAATGTGAGCGCTAACCCCCTACACTCCCATTCCACCCAACCCCCGCCACCAGTCTTTCTGGGGTCAAGTAAAACTGATACCCCAGCTGGATGTAGAGTTTCTCCCTGTAGCTTACTGCTATTCCTCCTATGAGCATTCATGCTATACAACCTTTGTGGGCTACTTCCAGTGTGTTCTGAGCTGAGTTATAACCCAGCATCTTGTAGTGTCCCCACAGAAGAGCTTGGCATTCCTCTTGCTATTGTATCATCTATTTCTGTTTTCCAGAATTCACTGGCTGGCCCACTTGGATGGATGCTTAGCTACTATGAAGTAGTCACTCATAACTAACAACAGGTAATGTATCCCTCCCTCTGCCTAAGTATAAGAATTTCAAGATAAAATGTTGAATTGACTACATTTCCATGTGCCTCTGAAAATGGGAATCAATTTAAATCAAATAGCATAGGTGATAGCCTGATCTTGACTAATAAGAACTTATAAATTACAAATGATTTGTTGCAGTTTATTTGGTCACAACCCTATTCATGGTCTTTGAAATATTCAGCCAAGTAAACATACCCTTAAGATATATTTGTATCCCTAATCATCTTCTCATGATTAGGCCTAGAAATATACTTGTTTTAAGTTCCAAAGTCTTATACTTTCAAATAAAAAGACACTGACTTTTTTCAGTGTAGCTAGTAAGCATTATTTTATTTGCCCAAAGAGTAACTTTCCAAAGAAGGATAAAATCCAACGTCAAAATCAGAAATCATTTGCTCTCTGTGAGTGAGTGTGGATGAGTGTTTTGACTCCTGAAAAATAGAGCCTAACTTCTGGAACTGTTAAAATATCAAGCAGTTCAAAACAAGACAAGCTATTTTTACAAACTGTTTTTCTGGTGTGAATTTTTGTCCATTATGAATCCATAGAAACAAAGGAGGAGGCAACAATACTTGATAAGAAATGTACTCCTTACTGTGCTTATGTAACTGTAACCCCTCTGTACAGTATTTTCCCAACAAAAAACTTATTAAAAAAAAGAAATTGTGAAAATGCACTTCTAACTACATCAATGTATTTATAGTTTTTATGGTAGTGTTCAGTCTCATTAGAATAGTAAATGGTGAAAAATGTATAAGAATACATACAAACCATAGACAGACCTTCCTTTGTGGTCCTACAAGGAAGATATAACACTAAGACACTCTTCAGAAAGATAATTTCCTCATTTTTTGTTTTGGATTGGTTTTTTGGTAGTACTGGGGTCTGAAATCCAGGCCCAGTGCTTGCCTGGAAGCCACTCTATTTGAGCAATACCTTCATCCCTTCAGCATTTTTTTTGCCAGTCTTGAACCTTGAACTCTGGGCTTGAGCTCGGTCCCTATATTCCTTTTTCTCAAGGCTAGCACTTTATAGCTTGAGCTATAGCACCACTTCCAGCTTTTTCTGTGGTTGATTGGAGATAAGAGTCTTGAGGACTAGGGCTGGGAAGGTGGCTCAGTGGTAGAGCACTTGCCTTGTATGCAGCAAAAAAAAAGAAAAAAAGCCAGAAGTGGCACTGTGACTCAAGTGGTAGAGCGCTAGCCTTGAGCTGAAGAGCTGAGGGACAGCGCCCAGGCCCAGAGTTCAAGCCCACGACCGGAACCCCCCCCAAAAAAAGTCTTGAGGACTTTCCTCCCAGGCTGGCAATACTGCAATCCTCAGATCTCAGCTTCCTGAGTAGCTACAGTTACAGGCATGTGCCACTGGTGCTTCACCCCTTCAACATTTTAATGTATGATAAGCTACACATTTTTAAAACCCTCAAATCTCAACAACTACCACCCAACTGAGTTCCCACAATTATCACTTAGAGAAATAGATCCATTCTGCCCAAGTTTAACTGTGGGCTACAGTATCAGAATCCTTTAATACTATTTTAAGTAATGAATATCTCTTAATTGACAGAATTAGAAATGCAAAATAGGCGAACAGACACATACTGATAGAACCCCAGCAGGGTCTCCAGAACAACCATGTGACCATAGGGCCTACCTTCTTCCATCACATCATTAAATAAGAAAAAGAGAGGTGCTCTTGTGGTGAATAAAAACAGAAAATTAAGGTTACAGGAACTGCAAATGTTTAAACAAGTAATAACCAATATTTCACAGGAAAGAAAAACACAAATGTAAGCGCATACCTTTACCCCAAAGCAGATAGTTACCTATTAGGATGCTCTCATGGAATTACAAGCTCTAGAGGAAAAAGACAAATGCAGAAAGGAACTCTTTTCTTAGCTCACGTGAAGAACTTAACACTAGCACTGAAAACAGAACCTGTATGTAAATTCTGTTCTGATTCACTGTTCAACTGATGGTGCATTACATAGCACTGTCTAGGAGTTCCACTCACTGGTAACACCTAACTGGACATCTTTTTTAGGAATAAAGCACTGATTTTGAAAATACTATTCGTGTGAGATCCACTCATACGCAGGCGGAAGGGTAATCCACACCGAACAGAGAACATAAACACGGCCTGCCCAAGGTTAAAGGACATTCTGGGTCCTTAATGTTACAAGTGCTTTTTCAGAATGGTGCCACTGGCTGTACCTCAGGGACTCTGTGGTCTGGGAACCATCCTCACAGTGCCTGACTTTGTTTAATGAAAACAAAGGGGTCAAAGATTTGAAGGAGGAAAAAAGAACAGGACATAGTCTCCCAAAGCAAAACCAAACCAAACAAGGAAAAATATTCACAGATGTTTAGAGGAAAAGCATAACTCTTGGTTGAAATTTTAAATTAGAAAACTTTCCTTGATGATAAAGGGAAATGAAAGACTAAGATCAATATTTTCCAAATCTTGTCACTATTTCTTCTTTTTAATGTCTTGCAGAATCAGTAAATTTATAGATTACCCCCCCACACACACATACACACAGCAGGTTCAAAAGCTTGCTTTTAGCTATGACAACTTGAAATCTTGGAGAGAGAGATGTTATATTTTTTTACAAGGCAAGAATATTTTAAGTGTGACTGGCTTCACATTTCTGATCAAAATATAAAACAGAAAAAACACTCTCTAAAGAATAAGGACTTCTTCAATCAGGAATAGGCAAAGATCAATAGTGAGAAATCCTATTCAACAAAGATACAGTAGGAGTTACATCCCATAAAAAAGGTAACATTTACTTGCAGTAGTAAGCATGTCTATTTTTTCTTTTTTATTAAAAATAAACCACTATAAGGCCTATAAGGAAATTTTTGGGAAAAAAGGAAGATTCTTAAATAGTTGATGTCTTCTTGACAAACAAAACTGCAGATTCATATAACCACTAGAATTAAAAGTTATGTACAATTTCCTTCATGTAATAGCTTGGAGTATTAATACAAGTTATTTGGGGTGGGGGCAGGCATAGAACCTAGAGCCATCTGCATATTCTAAGTGCTTTACCACTGAACTATATTCCATGCCCAGGTCATCCTTATATTTATCCATTTATCAAACCTCTATGTTATTAAGTTTCTGAGAATAAAGGCTAGAAAAACATAATTCATTTTCCTCATCATAAATGCCAGAGACAGGTGACTCTTCAAGGTCTATAGAATAAATCATACAGCTCACTAGACTGATGGTCCACACCTGAAACTGTTTCCTGGCAGACTCTTAACACATGGCTAAGCAGCTTATAGATCTTTTCTGAGGAGTTGGAGATAGAAGGAAGACACTTTTGTTGCTTGTTTGTCTGTCTCAAATAATCCAGCCAAATCATGCCTTCTGCCTGTTGTTTCTATTTTAAGGACAAAGAGCAACAAAAAGCTACATTCTCATCCTAACCCTAATCCTAATGACAGTATCATTTTATATGCTAAAATATACAGGGAGCTGTAGCCCATAAAACACAGTTCACTTGTCATAGTAAGCATTTCTTACCTGATGTGGCCAATCAATTCGATAAGCTTGTGACTGAAAAAATAGGCTGTCAGCTCAGACACGTGACTCAGGACTGAACACACTCCAAACAGGGTTGTCGTTCCATTCAGATCTTCCAAATGCCAGTAAAGAAAGGTGAACACGAAGCCATATCCAAAACCCATAAACCAAGCCACAAACAACACTGAGCCATACTGCACGCTGCAGAGAAGTTTGATCAAGTCCCAGAAGTTGAAGGCCTGGGAGTGGCTGGTGGTGGTGGGTGTCTCCTCAGAGGACTCCGTGGAGTTGTTCCTTTCTACCTGAGGGATCTCTACCTCTTTCCCTTTACTCTCATTGTTTGTAAAGTGGTTGTAGCGGAACCGGAACTGAGTAGCCACAATCAAGGCCATGGTCATGAGAACTCCAAAGACGATGAAGACAATCTGGTAGTTCCGGTACTCAGGGGGCTTACATCCCTTTCCATCAATGAGCACTTCTATGTGGGTATAGTCAATTCCAATACCCACAGACAGCATCGCCAAGCCCCAGCCCAGGGAGCCCCACATGCGCTGCAATCCATAGCGGTCTCTGTGTTTTCCCAGATACTGTAGTGTCACCGTGTCCACAATCGTTACAGAAGAGGCACTGAAAAATTCTCCTATAATGACAACTACCAAGATCACCAAGAATATTGCTTCAACTTCCTGCTGATCATAGACAAGAGTGACTTGGTCCAATGGTAAAGATTTGGTGGTAGTGACAATAGCAGTGGTTGTCTCCCTGGTGACATTTCCTGTGGGGACAGGGATTGTTGTGCTTGCATTCAAGATCAGTTCTATAATATGGTCAGTAATGCCCTCTGTTTGGGGCTGCAGGGTGGGCTCACTGGTCTTGGGCAAAGCTGTTGTATAGATATCAGGAACTATGCTGTCAGGCTCGGCTTCTACTGTGGACCAGTTGGAAAGAGGCATGTTTCTTTTCTCACGTATTTTTGGTGACAAGGTAAGGAAAGAGACAGCAGAGGAATTCATTGGCAGGATGGTTACTGGATGACTTGCGTTGGTGGGGCGAGCTGTTGGGGGAATCTTTGGTACACATCTCAAGGTAGCAGGTTTGACAAATCCAATACCCAGGTTGAACAAAACCCAACACAAAAGTGAAAAGAGGAGGACAATTTTTCCTTTTCTGAAGCGATCTGCAACGACACCCCAAAATGGGGCACTACAGAATTCAATAAAATATCGAATACCTACAAGTAGTCCACTCTGGCTTGGTGACATTCCAAGCTGCTTATAATACACAGGCAAAAGTGGGTAAAGAGAGCCATAGGCAGAGTAAAAGAAAAAATAAAAAACCTTGGAAATGAGAAGATCATTGTTTATTTTAACACAATGTTTTTCTATCCAGTCTATTTCCTCCTCGGGAATAGCAGATGTTTCTGTGGAGGAGGGTGTTTCATTTGAGGGTGGATCTGGGTCCCTGGAAATACCATTAAAGGGGTCAGCAAGCACGTATTTTCTCTTCTGCTCCTCTTCATCATCAGTTAAAATAGCAACTTTATCATCTGCCGCCATGGCTTACCACCACCATCAGAAAACTGATGACCTTCAAACTTTGGATGGGTGATCTGCAAAGTAAATTGTAAAAGATGGTTTAGTAATGAAAATAATATGCAAACAGAATTACACCATTGTCCTGAAAGATGAGTAAATTCAGGATACACCTAAAATAAAATTGGGGAGGATTTTCATCATTAACTATTCAATCCTAGTAAATTAAATACTCTTTGTGGCCAATGACTCATTACATTATTCAATGCTTAGATTCACCCTAAATCTTTTATTTTTCATTCCAAGGGGAAGTCTACAAGTGTTAGGGATTACATTGAGAATAAAAAAACTACTTCTAGATTCTTGATTTTACTACTCAAACAAACTCTGCATTGAGAAGCCTAAAATTATTCATAAATTAAAGGCAGCCAAACCTATTCAGTTTTTAGAAGAAAACAGAAATGAACACTTAACCACAACCTCAAATGTAATAAGAATGACAACTAACTGTACTTTTGTGACTTAAATTAGTTACTAGAAACATAAGACATTTTGGTAACTCTTTTCATTACGTATGCATATCAATGATATGTTTTTAATGATACTCTAGATATGGCTTCACAGATTATATTTAAGAAAAAAACAGGAGATAACATTTATTGAGGGTGTAGCTCAGTGAAACAGTGCTTGCTTATCTTGTGTGAGGTTCTGGTTTGATGACAGGGAGGGAAGAAGAAAGGAAGGCAGGGAAGGAGGGAGGGAGGGTAAGAGGGAGGGATGAAAGATGGGAAAATTCAATCTCTTAATGTGTTACACCATTGAGCACTTAATCTCTCTGGGGAAATGTATCTTTACATGTATTAATTTATATTCATCACCCCATGGCAACCACCTTGTCCCTTTTATAGAGGAGAAAAATGAAGCCTTGCACCTTTAAGTGTAAGTGGTAGAGCCAGTATTTGAACCCTGAGCTTCAAAATACATACTCTAATATTCTAAACCAAATGACCAAATAGCACATTTTAGATAAGGTTATGAATCCTTTTTTAGAGACAAAGTTTTTCATATGAAAGATTAGCAGTATCTGTTGCCTCGCCATCAAAGACTCTCTCTGAACCTCTATAATGTTTTGCTTTTGCGATTCTAGGGTTTGAAATTGGAGCCTCACACTTGCAAGGCAGACACTCTACTGATTAGCCATGCCCCTAGCCCCTTTGGATGCTGACAATTTTTAAGACAGGGATTGTTTTCTTCCCAGGGTGCACACCTGGATCTGGATGCTGATCCATCTGTTCTAACTAGGATGATTGTGCATGTCATCATGACAAGCCAGTGGCTGAGAAGGGGTCTTGTGAACCTTTTTGCCTGAATCAGGATCCTCCCAATCTCAGCCTCCCAAATATGTAGAATCACAGGGAGTTACCTGTGCCCAGTTTATTTCTCTTTCATTGTATCTAGCTATCCAACATAGCAGCTCCAGTTTCACTGTCACTTTAAAAGAACAAATAATTCCCCTTTGAGATTATTTCCTAAATCAGTTTAATTCCTGCTCAAAACTAAAAGATATGTTTGTTGTGTTTGAAATGTATAAAAAAGTTGGGTGAACAGGGAACATTATAGATATCTAGCTTTGTTCTTTCCCTAAATCAAATAAAATGGCAATAAACACATACTTTTGTAGACATAATCCAAGTTAGGAAGAATTAAAGAACAATAATAGCCACAATGAATTAAGGTCATTTTACATATGTAAGTTTTCAAAAAGTTAATTTCTCTGTCTTGGTGTATGCTGCCACCTCAAGAAACAGTAAAATATGGGCCATAGGAACTCAGTCATCTGCCATGGGAGACAGGCACAGGAAAACAGGGCTCGTAACAGATGCCAGAATAACAGCTGGGAACCAGGCACAAATGGCAACCGGTCTAGCAGGTCTAGAAAGTTCCATGAGAGACTAACAGCTAAATGATATCCCTGAGATATCAATGTATCTGAACAGGTCCTATGAGGAAATTTTAGGCAACCTGTACAGGGCTCAGAGATAAGTGAGTGATAAGTACAGAGGAAGTTAAGTAAACAGAACATGACAAGAAAAAGTTTCACAGGAAGAGAAAATAATCACAGTTTGCGACACATCTCCACTGTAATTTCCTTCATAGTAGTGTAAATAATGATAACAGAACTCACCCAAACTGCCACCCAAAGGGTAATGGAGAAGACCTAGTAGGCATATACAATAAGGAGCAGGGAAGTGAGTTAACTCTGAATTTTATATAATGGATAATAAATTATAATATATAATAAATTAATAAAAGATAATAAATTATGTTTAACCAGACTTAAACACTGTGCAGTGTTTATGTGTATGGAAATGTGGCACCATTAAAGTGTGTAATACTTGTTACAGAAGAGTTAAAACACTAACTTGAATTTAAAAAGGAAGAAAGAAGAAAGCTATATACAGTCAGATATGTTATGGCTTTGCAAGTGACAGTAATTTAAACTGGCTACTGGTATCTTTCCATCTCTGACTAAAACTATGTTTTGGAATTGCACAGAGTATCTGATTGCATGAATTCAAATCAGGGGCCATATTTTTGCCTTTAAGAAATTAACTGTGCTCCCTAAATCAACTGCCAAGACATTATCAAGTAGATTAGAGGGGGACAAAAAGTCTTCCTGAAAGGGAAAAATACCATGAGTTGTTGAAGTTATATTAGAGAATTGATGCCTGAATTCTAATCCAAAGACATAAAATCTCTTTTATGGTGTGTATCACCCTTCTGAGCCATACTTTCCACCCCTCTTTATTCAAAATCCTTCTGATTTTAAGATTGTAAAAGGTTTCTCCTATTACATAAGTCCTGATATTAAGGATTTCTCAAAAAATTGGGGGTGGGGAAGAGTACTAATAAACTCCAGGTAGGTAAGGAAATGTCCTAACTATAACATTTCAGATCCATTTGTATAAAAGTCATACTCGGGTAACTTTTATATGACCTTCAAAGCTAAAAATTAAAAAAATATGAGTAGAGGACATTGATTTTTAGATATCCTCATGTTATCTTTAGATTTTAAAGAAGAAGAAAAAACTTGGAGAGAACATTATAACAGCTATGAGATAAAAGTATAACTGAAGTCATCTCTGTAATAACATGACTGAGGATCAAAGAAATAAACAAGAAGTAACTTCTATATCTTAATAAACTTAAACATGGTCCAAAGTCATGATCTCTGTCTATAAATTAAACTACATTTAACTTACTGCAAGTTGAGAGAAAATGTAAGAATTGGTAATACATAGGTTGCATTATATATTTAAAATTTCCACAGTGAGAGGAAACTTTGTTTATGAAGTTGATATGAACTGAATATCTGTGTTCTTCCAAATTTTAAAATCAAAGCTCCAACTCTCAGTTTGACTATACAGATGCATATTTTGGACTGAAAAGGTGGTGAGATCATCCTGCTGGATCAAATACAGTGACAACAGGGGATATACCATATGGGGAAGAACATACAAAAGAAACAAAAAAAATCACACAATAACAACAAAGAAAAACCTCATGTGTCCATGTCTTAGAGTTAACTTCACATAGCATCATCTTATATGGTCATATGTACATAGCTATTAAGCTATTATGCTCATATGATAAGATTATCCTAGATGTACACTAAGATCCTGAATAGCAAAAACAATCCTTAGCAGAAAAAAAAACAGTGCTAGAGGAATATCAAAACCAAACTTCAAACTCTATTGCAAAGCCATATAATCAAAACAGCTTGGTACTGGCACAAGAACAGACCTGAGGACCAGTAGAACTGAAGACCCAGAAATAAATCTTATCTTTGATAAGGGAGCAAAAAAAAATAGAATGGAAGAAAGACAGCCTCTTCAGTAAATGGTGCTAGCAAAATTGGTAAAACACCTGTAGAAAACTAAAGTTAGATCTTTATATATCAACTTGCACAAGAATCAACTTCAAATGGATCAAAGACCTTGAAGTAAAAGCAGACACCCTGAAAACATTACAGGAATGTATAGGAGAAACTCCAGGGTTCCTTGGTACAGGCCAAAATTTTCTTAATAAAGACCCAGAAACAACAAGTCTGAGAAAAGTTGGACTAATGGGATTGCATGAAACTGCAGAGCTTCTGCATGGCAAAGGACATAGCTAGCAAGATCAACAGAAAGCCCATGGATTGGGAAATGATCTTCATTAGCCATACAACAGACAAGGGCCTCATATCTAAAGTACACTTAGAACTCAAAAAATTAAAATTATTTTTTAAAGAGAAAGAAAGAAGAGAAACAAAGAAGAAACTAAAAGAAAAGTGAGGGTTGTATATGGCATGGCATGCATCTGTAATTGAAATTACCAACCAGGTGTGGTGGTGTGTGCTTGTGACCTCAACTACATGTTAGGCATTGAAGGATTATGGTCTGAGGAAAAAACATGACCCTTATTTTAAAAAATAAAAGAGCTAGGGACATGGCTCAAATGGAAGACTGCCGGCCCAGTAAAACTCTGATACTGCCAAAAAAAGCAAACCAGCAAACAAAAAGAATGAGAAGACATTTCAAAATATACACAGAAATGTATAAACTTCAATAAATCCCTATCACAGGTTTGCATCAGGCATAATTGGATAAGAAGGATTTATGCTTAATTTTTAGAGAGTCAGAAAAGTTTTCTCACCTAGCACAGTCTAATTATAGTAATCAACACCACTACAGTACAAATATAACACAGCATTAAAAGGTACCCTACCAGTACCTGCACTGAGTCATTCAAATGGCAGCTATTTCTGAATTATTGAGGAGAGGCAATGAAATCATTCTTGCTAAAATTGATGGTTGTCTTCATTAAGTATCTAAATTCACATGGAGCAAACACATTGTTATCCATAATTATATGGGTATGGAAGTAGATTAAAGTTCAGGGGAGGGGAGGCATCATATAAAAATAAAATATATTACTTAGGACAGTGATTGTCAATGTCAGTTGACAAAGACAGTAAGAATGTGTGCTGTGAACACAGCAGTGACATCTTTATCCAAGGCAGAGAGGAAACCAT